TTTCCATGCATTTGCCTGCCCTTGTCCTTGTCTACATCCTGCACTTCCCACTATGATCTCATATATGTCCCTATCCAGACTTTCAATGAACTCTTAAACTAGCTTAGTTGGCATATTGGGTGAGTTCTCATGGCGAGTCTTCTTCTGCTCTGGTGAAACTAGCTGGGAGCAGGAAACTAGCATATCAGCAGATGTCACAATTATTATCACATGCCCAGCTCCGTTCTTGCCTTTGCAAAGGCCTAAAAATCCTGCCCATGGAGTCAAATTTTTTCATTACTTACTATTGATTAATATTTAAGCATATGTCCACAGCAAACATTAAGACTATATAGGATACTTTTCAATGAAGAATGCATGTCACAGCCAGTTAAGTTCTACATTTTCCCTTCCTCTGTTCCTTCTTCTAGTATGGCAATGATCTCTCTCTGTTTATATTGTTTCTAACTATATTAATCCATAGTCATCTGCATTTCATAATCCTTTACCTATTTTCAGTGCCAGCTCATATCAGTTTGCATCAAGATGTTCCAGGTTACCTAAATATTTATCTTTAGTTTGATGTCCATGGATTCACAAGAGAACAGAAAACCTTAGTGTTATGATTAGCAAGACATAAAGGAGAACTAAGTCTCCAGATTGTTGTGATAAATTGAATCTCAATATAAACATGAACAAAGTGGCCTTAAAAGAAAGCTTCAATGAACCCATGCTCAGACATACAGTCTGTTCCCTTTGCGGTCTTCCAGTCCTAGATATTTAAATATAGAACCCAAGATAAAATGGAGCACAATATCAACAAAGTATTTTCACGCAGTTTTTCTTTATAGACTTAATTTTGATCTTGATCTCTAACAGAGTAATATGCAATATGTTCTATTCTTTTGGTTGCCACCGTTGTACACAAAAAGTACATTAAATAGTTTGTCAAAGCAACATCCTTACATTTCTACCATAAATGAACAATGTTAGCATTAAGTATTTGTTTAAGTAGATGTACTATTGAGCTTTAAGGTCTGGTAAATGTTTAATTCAAACAACCATGTAAGAATTGGAATTCATTCAGGATTTTTTAATTTTCAAGGCAAATTTTTTTTATTTGATTTTGTTTAACTTTTAAGTAAAAGATGCTGCTTTGTTATTCATATGGCTAGTCCTTCAACGGAGAATGTGCTAAATTTTTAGCACCTCCAGGCTTGTTGTTTGTCTCACAGAATAAATATAAAACAGCTGGTTCCTTGTTACTATTGTTTAACTAAAAGTATTTGTTTTAGGGGGTAATGTCATGTCTATTTAAAATGTTGCTGGCTGGACATATTTTGTCAATTGGGTAGTCAGCTTGCTGACCTCATTCCCTGTACACATTTTCAATAAACCAGGGGTCTAACATATTATAGGCTGCAGATAGCAAAAACACAACCAAGCGTTAAAGACACCTCCATTTTTAAGCAATTGAAAAATTAGTTTGTGCTAAATTGTTGGGGTTTGTGATATCACCAAAGTTATTGTTGACTTTAAGATGTAAGAGCAGAAGTAGGCCATTCAGTCTTTCAGGTCTGCTCCACCTTTCAATGAGATCATGGCCGATCTGACAATCCTCAATTGTACTTTACTGCCTTTTCTCCATATTCCTTCTCGATTCCTTTACTGATTAAAAATCTGTCTGTTTCAGCCTTGAAAATACCTAATGACCCAGACTCAACAGCCCCCTGAAGTAAAAAATTCCACACATTCACTATCCTCTAAGAGAAGAAATCTCTCCTCATCTCTCTCTTAAATGTGTGAACCATTACTGGAGATTATGGCCTGCTGGTCCTAATCTCTCACAAGAACCAACCTTTCCACATCTACCCCACCAATGCCCCTAGGAAGCTAGTATATTCAATAAGGTTACCTCTCATTCTTCAAAATTCTAATGTGTACAGGCCCAACCTATTCAACCTCCCCTCATAATACAGTCCTCCAGACTTGGTATTAGCCTAGTGAATCTTCTTAGGACTGCCACCATTGCCAGTATATTTTTTCTTAAGTAAATGGCTTAAAACTTTTTACATGATTCCAGCTGTGATCTGACTGGTGCCTTGTACAGTTCTAGCAAAACTTCCCGACTTTTATACTCCATTCCCTTTGAAATAAATACTAAAATTCCATTTACCTTTCTCTTTACCCACTGAACTTAGATGATTTTTATTGCTCTGTATCTCCTTTACTGTTCTTCAGGATCAGACACAACATTGCCACAACACTGCATAAAAAAGTTAAGTTTCCACTTCTGTACTCTCGTTCTTAGTTGGGTGTCTTAAAACAAATGAAAATCATAGGCTGAAATTGCACATTCTAGAAGTGCATAAGTGGATATTTTAACAGAAAGTCATTAGGTCTGGGCTGTTTAACCTGATGATCCAGCAGAAGACCATGTCTGAACAGCTGGCATTAAAGAAACAAACAGAAGCAGTTAGGCTCTTTCTATTGTTATTTTATTTTCAATGTCTCCACTCTGCGCAACTGCTTTAGCACCTACAGATTTTTTTAACTCAGATGATAGAACTGTTCCTATTTGTTGCTAGTTGGTTTCTTTTTTTGCTGTAAACATGAGCATACAGCATTTAAAAATCACTCAGCAACTGTCTTAATCACTCATTGAAGATGTGCTGATGGCATTACTAGCAAATATTTTAAAAATTGAGACATTAGGTTTAGGCATCCAAGCTAGTGCATTAAGGATTAAAATAATTTTTCGTCCTTGTTATGATCTACACTTGATTAAAATGAGAGGGTCCTAAACGTCTATTATCCTAACTCTGGATTGAGGCCACATTCTGGATGAGTGAAGACTTGTGGAAACAGAAGGAGGCATTAAAATTTACAGTATACAGCCACATCAATGCTCTGCCCCAAATTGTGTTGGTCCTTCCTCTGGATGATTTTTGGAACTGCTGTTTTACAGATGGATACACATTCTTATTTAGAGATTATTAAATGCTAAGTGTTCCAGCATGCTTTTCCAATAAATCATGAAGTATTTGATAAGATGTAGCAGATATTAACCCCCAATAATTAGTGTTTATCAATTTCAAAATAGCCAGAGAAAGAAACAAGGTGCAAATACCAAGATCAAGGGCAAGTCCTTGATTAGATTTAGCAAGTTATTGATCTCCCACATAGTTAGACTAACAAGAATACAAAATCAACATTAGGCAATGTACAAATTAGTAAAAGACATTTCACATTTTGAGATAAAGAAGGAAGAGTTTTGACATTGATGCTCCTCCCAGCAGAACCAGGTAATAACATCTCTGTACTTCTAATCAGTGAAACTTGCTGATGTACAACGCTGTTTTGAGTCTAGAAAATATGCTTTGCTAATGACTCAGCCTGTTAACTCCAACTGCTAAGTGTTATTTTAAATCTTTGGATAAAATGCATTCTCTGCACACCGAGTTGGTTGGAGCTCCTTCAGAATCTCTTTTAAAACCTCATGTCAAAAAAAGAGGTGAGGCCAGTGATCAAGTGTCGGAATTATCATTCCTTCATTCTCCAGTGCCCCCAACATATTGCACAACCACAAGGAAGATTCAGAGAAACAGTATTTGAAAAGTTATAAGTGGGGGTTAACACTGTTAGATTAGGTTAGAACATAGAACATAGAACATTACAGCGCAGTACAGGCCCTTCGGCCCTCGATGTTGTGCCGACCTGTGAAACCAATCTGAAGCCCATCTAACCTAAACTATTCCATTATCATCCATATGTTTATCCAATGACCATTTAAATGCCCTTAAAGTGGGCGAGTCTACTATTTTTGCAGGCAGGGCATTCCACGCCCTTACTACTCTCTGAGTAAAGAACCTACCTCTGACATCTGTCCTATATCTATCACCCCTCAATTTAAAGCTATGTCCCCTCGTGCTAGCCATCACCATCCGAGGAAAAAGGCTCCCACTGTCCACCCTATCTAATCCTCTGATCATCTTGTATGTCTCTATCAAGTCACCTCTTAACCTTCTTCTCTCTAACGAAAACAGCCTCAAGACCCTCAGCCTTTCCTCATAAGACCTTCCCTCCATACCAGGCAACATCCTGGTAAATCTCCTCTGCACCCTTTCCAATGCTTCCACATCCTTCCTATAATGCGGTGACCAGAACTGTACGCAATACTCCAAGTGCGGCCGCACCAGAGTTTTGTACAGCTGCAACATGACCTCATGGCTCTGAAACTCAATCCCTCTACCAATAAAACCTAACAACTGCAGTTGAAGATCTGTTAGTCAGTTTAAGAGGATTCTACCAATTAACTGATGTTCTTGTAAGGACAGACATTTTTGTACTTTTCAGCCATCTCCCACTGACTCAATGAACCCAACTGGTTCACTGGTACTGCATTTTTCAGTACTTCCCCACCCACACCAGACACTCCAAATCTGTCAAATTTAAATGCAGAGGCCTACGAACAAAGCCAGGCACATTGATTCTTGTAGGGCAGAAGTCACACTCAAACACTGAATACTCAGCAGATTTCTGAGTTCTCAGGTTCTAGAATTATGATTTTGGTGTGTTTCATAGACAAGTTCAACATAAATATATTTATCAAAAATAATTTTTATTCTGTATCTGAAAGAAATTTACAAAGAACTTCAGAAAAAATGCGTAAGCAGATGAACTTTTTGAACCAGAGCTTACAAAGGCAGTGGAAACCGCAGTAAAGAACACAATATTATAATTTCTACTCTACTTGGATGTACTTCACACATTACAAGTAACCATTAAAACAAAATAACAGTATCATTTTAGATTCCCCTGTTTCTAAGTTGTATATATAATTGATAATGGTCAGCTGGTAAATAATGTACGATCAAAGTTTGAAATTCTGTTTTAAATGCAAGTATGTTTTTATTAAGAAAATATTCCTATTTGGAAGAAATTATGAAAAAAATTAAGCTATACTTTACAGCATTAATTTCTTCTGGTAGCTGAAATTCTGTGAAGGGTTAACTGTTGACTCACAACTCCTCGTTTTCTAATTCTTCAAAACTTGGGCCAGTTAGGATAATAGGCTCTTTTGTGGCCAACTTTAAAGATTAAAAAAAATGTATATTTGGTCATACTGTATATAGGGTACATTTAAAATAGAAAATAAATAAAAAGGAAGCTAGATAACACAGGTGCAATACTTGGCAATAAAGTTCTGGAAAATTAGACGAGATATTTTAAACAACTATCTTCATTGATATATATATATATATAAAACACCAATTTTGACATAAACTACAAATATTCAGAATTGAAGTACTAAGAAGCTGATGAAATAATGGAGCCAAAAGTCCACAGCGGTTCAACTCATCTCCTCTAATAACTCAAGTAATTTATCTCATGAGAATGGCTCCAGGGATGAGAAACTTCATTTACATGCATAGATTAGATTAATTTAGTCTGTTCCCCTTGGCAAAAAAAAGATTTAAAAGACATTTGATAGTGTGTTCAATAATTTGGAATTTGGGCAAACAGGAAGATGCTTTTTACGTTGGTGGAAGGATTGAGAATAAGAGCACACTGATTTAGGGTAAATTGCAAAAGAACCAACATATCTTCGCAGGCAGTCAGTGGTTAGGATCTGGAATGCATTGCATGAAAGTGCAGTGGCGGCAGTTTCAACTAAGGCACTCAAGAAGGAATTGGATAATTATCTGAGGTGAAAATATTTGCAAAGCAACAGCAAACCACAGTACAGTGGGTCCAGGTGGGTTTGCTCTTCAGAGACCTGGTATGGAAAGGATGCTGTAACAGTTCTGTGATTCTCAGCATTCACAGCATTTTGTTCATGTATTAGTAAATATTGATTGGGGGATGCAGGAGCAGAGGGAACTGGGTGTATATGTCATTATGAGGATGATTCAAGGCTCAAGTTACTTAAGGTCATAGTGAACTTTTAATTCCAACTTTTTTTAAAGAAGTTTGCTACAGGCATAAAATGAATATGAGTATATGTCTAGTATAAACATTGTTTGGTAGCAGTATCTATGGAGAGACAGCAACAGAGTTAACATTCAAGTCAGATGTGATTTTTTCAGAATTCACTGGGCCTCCAGCCTGCAGTCTCAGAACTGCCTATGACTGAGCTCTGCTGCTGCCATGTCTGTTGAAAGCTGCCAACTTCTTCCCCAGCAAGGCGCACAAGTTTGACTCTCCAGCATGGCAGGATTTTTCCTAGTCTGTTGGTTCGCTGTTGACTGGCATTACACTCCCCCCAATAATTTTCTGCCCATGATCTCTGCTGACGATATTTTTTTAAAAACTCATTTGTGGGATGTGGACATTGCTGGCTGGCCAGCATTTTGTTCCTTGTCCCTAGCTGCCCTTGAGAAGGTGGTGGTGAGTTACTTTCTTGAACCGCTGCAGTCCACCTGCTGTGGGTTGACCCACAATGCCATTAGGGAGGGAAATCCAGCATTTTTACCCGTAACAGTGACAGAACAGCAATATATTTCTAAGTCAAATGCTGAGTGGCTTGGAGGGGAACTTGAAGCTGGTGGTGTTCCTGCTGTCCTTGTCCTTCGAGATGTAAGTGGTCGTGGGTTTGGATGATGCCGTCTGAGGATCTTTGGTGAATTTCTGCTGTGCATCTTGTAGATAGTACACACTGCTGCTACTGAGCATCAGTGGTGCAGTTAGTGGGTGCTTGTGGACGTAGTGCCAATCAAGCGGGCTGCTTTGTCCTGGACGGTGTCAAGCTTCCTGAGTGTTGTTGGGGCTGCACTCATCCAGGCAAGTGGGGACTATTCTATCAGAGAGATAGTAGGAACTGCAGATGCTGGAGAATCTGAGATAACAAGGTGTAGGGCTGGATGAACACTACGGGCCAAGCAGCATCAGAGGAGCGGGAGCAGGACCGAGTTTTCTGAAGAAGGGTCTAGGCCCGAAACGTCAGCTTTCCTGCTCCTCTGATGCTGCTTGGCCTGCTGTGTTCATCCACCTCTACACCTTGTTATCTCAGTATTCTATCACAGTCCTGATTTGTGGTTTGTAGTCTTTGGGGAGTCAGGAGGTGAGTTACCCACTGCTGTATTCTTAGTCTCCGACCTGTGGCGAGTCCAGCTGAGTTTCTGGTCAAAGATAACTCCCAAAATGTTGATAGTGGGGGATTCAGTGATGATAACACCATTGATTGTCAAGGGGTGGTGGTTATATTGTCTCACATTGGTGATCATAGCCTTACATTTGTGTGGCACGACTGTTAGTTGCCACGTGTCAGCCCAAGCCTGGATATTGTCCAGATCATAACAAAAACTGAAAGAATTGTGGTTGCTGTAAATCAGAAACAAAAACAGAAATTGTTGGAAAAGCTCAGCAGATCTTGCAGCATCTATGGAGAGAAATCAGAGTTAATGTTTCAGTTCGAGTGACCCTACCTCAGAACTAATGGAGGCTAGGAAAATGTCAGTTTATATGCAGAAGATAGGAAGGGGGAAGGGGGAATGAGGAAACAATAGATGAGGATGGAACCCAAAGAGAGAGAAGAACAGTTGGACAAAGGAGTGGATAACAATCCGGCCAGGAGGGTGAATAGCTATTAATGGGGGTGGTTAGTGGCTAATTATTAGTTTATACATATATTCATCTGAGTCTTTCTGTTTTGTGCTTAAATCACAATTTGAATAGCTTCCTCCAAAGTTAAGTCTTCCTCAAACTGTAATAAATCTGACAGTTTTATGAATAATTCCAATAACAATTCTGTAAGTTATAAATTTTCATTTTGAAGTTCCATTTTCATGGTTTTCCACTAATCTGTAGAGATTATTAATAAAATTTTGTATCAAATCTCCTAGAAGCTGCAGTCTTATATTTGCCAATGCTTTCTCAAATTGCATGATTGTACAGCTTGCTAGATTCTATACTATAGCAATGTTGCATTATTTCCATCATTTGCCTGTCTTTTCAGCACAGTATTTCTATAATATTCGACTGAATTCTTCAATGGAGCTTTAAACGATATTATGGGTGCTTCTGTAGTAATTTACTGCTTTTAAGCTTTTTAAATCTGTTTCTTGGTAATGCTGAATCTGTGTACTCTATTTGTGGTACTTGCCATATCTACCACTGTGTGGTACTGGGTATATCTTGTTTGAGGTAGTTTACTGCCACCAATCTTCATTTGTCTTTGGTCTACCTTGTGATTAATGGTATAGATTACACCACTGCAGAGAATCTAAAGAAGCAGTACTGTTCTTAGATAGCAAGACCGTTAAATAAAAACAGCAGTAAGTACAATTATATTTTGTCAGAATTATCAGTATATTAGAGAAGTGTTCCAAAAATTAAAGTGGAATCCCTGTCTCCATTTTAGACTCTGGTATTGAGTCTAGCATGCTCTACAGTCAGTTTGAGAAAGCACTGGCAAATACAAGAATGCAGCTTCCAGGAGAACCGATGCATGCATGACATTAGTAGAATGGTGAAGTCAATATCACATGAATGTTAACCCATTCAGAACCATTATATTCCACAACAGTTACAGTGCTGCGTTCTGTATAGCCTGGTAGTCATGTTGTTGCTAGTCCACTGTGTCTGCCAAATAAAATATTTGTGGTTTCCAAGCAGACTTACCACAACTGCATTTCATCATCAAAGTGCCAATGCAAGGAATGGGTCACCCATTATAGGGAGTCAATTTCACTGCTGTAGGTTGACTTCCAATGATCCCAGTACCCATTAGAACATAGAACATAGAACAGTACAGCACAGTACAGGCCCTTCGGCCCACGATGTTGTGCTGAATTTTTACCCAAAACCTAAGGTCTATCTAACCTCCACCGCTACCTTATACTATCATCCATATGCCTATCTAATAGCTGCTTAAATGCCCCTAATGAGGCCAACTCCACTACCCTCTCCGGCAATGCATTCTACACCCCTACCACTCTCTGAGTAAAGAACCTTCCTCTGACGTCTCCCCGATATCTACCTCCTTTCACTTTAAAACTATATCGCCTCGTAAAAGCTACCTCCACCCGAGGAAAAAGTCTCTGGCTGTCTATCTATACCTCTGATCATTTTGTACACTTCTATCAAGTCACCTCTCATTCTTCGTCGTTCTAAAGAGAAAAGCCCTAGCTCTCTCAACCTTTCCTCGTAAGACCTTCCCTCCATTCCAGGCAACATCCTGGTAAATCTCCTCTGCACCTTTTCCAACGCTTCCACATCTTTCCTGTAATGAGGTGACCAGAACTGGACACAATACTCCAGATGAGGCCGAACCAGGCTTTTGTATGGCTGGAGCATAACTTCACGGCTCTTGAACTCAATCCCTCTATTCATGAAAGCTAACACACCATACGCCTTCTTAACAACTCTATCCACCTGGGTGGCAGCTTTCAGGGAACTGTGAACATGAACCCCAAGATCCCTCTGCTCCTCCACACTGCCAAGAATCTCTCTGTTAACCCTGTATTCTGCTTTCAAGTTTGTCCTTCCAAAATGAATCACCTCACACTTTTCAGGTTAAACTCCATCTGCCACTTCTCAGCTCAGCTCTGCATTCTATCAATGTCCCTTTGTAACCTAGAACAGCCTTCCGCACTGTCCACAACGCGACCCACCTTTGTATCGTCCGCGAACTTGCTAATCCACCCTTCCACTCCTTCATCCAAGTCATTTACAAAAAGCACAAAGAGGAGAGGACCCAGAACAGATCCTTGTGGTATACCACTCGTAACTGAGCACCATGTTGAATATTTTCCATCCACTACCACCCTTTGTCTTCTAAGGGTCAGCCAATTCTGAATCCAATCTGCCACATTTCCCCCTATCCCATGCCTCCTTACCTTCTGCATGAGCCTACCATGGGGGACCTTATCAAACGCCTTACTTAAATCCGTGTATACCACATCCACTGCTCCACCTTCATCCACGTGTTTGGTCACCTCTTCAAAGAATTCAATAAGGTTTGTGAGGCATGATCTACCCCTCACAAATCCATGCTGACTATCACGAATCAAACTGTGCCTTTCCAAGTGATCATAAATCCTGTCTCTCCGAGCCCTTTCCAATAATTTGCCCACCACTGACGTAAGAC